CCCGAGGCCTTCGAGATCGAGCACGTGCTCCTCCTCCCGGCGCTCTCGACGCTCGACGTCCAGGCCAACGGCCTCGCCGACGGCGAGGGCGTCCTGGCCATCTTCAAGCAGATGCCGGACCTGCGCGTCCTCTACTGCCAGGGCAACCCCTTCGTCAAGGAGCTCCGCAACTACCGGAAGCGCATGATCTCCGAGATCAAGACGCTCCGCTACCTCGACGACCGCCCCGTCTTCGAGGACGAGCGCCGCCGCTGCGAGGCCTGGGCGCGGGGCTTCGCCGAGGGGGGCACCCTCGACGCCGCCAACGAGGCCGAGCGCGCGGAGATCGCGCAGATCCGCGCGGACAAGAAGGCCGCCGAGGACAAGCGCGTCCGCGACTTCGAGAACTTCATCGCCGACGCGCGCGCGGCCAAGGCCGCCGACGACGCCGCCAAGGGCCTCTCCTTCTCGGGCGACCGCATCGTCGACCCGAACCGACCAGCGGGCGACGAGAACGCGGACCCGAACGGCGGCGGCGCGACGGCCCGCTTCGACGAGGCCGCCTACGTCGACGCCGACGAGCTGGACTAGGGAGCGGGGGGTAATCTTAGTTCGTGCGCGCGCCGAGGCCGGGGATCTTGCTGGGGTGGCCGATCCAGGCGATGACGGTGAAAGTGGCGCAGATCGCGTCAAACACGACGCGCTCATCTTCACCGCCGTCGAGCATGAGGTTCAACGTAATGTGTCCCATAGATTTCAGTGCTCGCTGCTGCGCTTCGTTCGGGGCCCCCGTAATTTCCTGTCCGCCAGGCACGTAATGCTGCGCAATTGTCATTCGGTGAGCGCCCTGTTCGTACTTGGGGGAAGGCGTGGCGCGAAGAACAATGTGTCCACCAACGCCGAGGAAACTAGGCGAAACTTGAGTGATGTAAAGCACTTGACCCTTTGGCACATCAATCACCACGTCGTCGCCGTATGTTGGGTTTTCGTCGCCCTGGCCTTTCTCTACGACGAAAAACAAGCTTCGAGCGTGCGGCGCCGCGTCCGACAGCGCGGCCATGGCCTCGTCGCAGGCTGCGACCAGCCGATCGTATGCGAAGAACTCCGCCTCGGCCTTGAGATCGTCGAGGCGATGCGCGTCCGCGCGCACCGCGGCCGGCAGACGATTCCCGCGCATGTACTTGAGGACGTCTCCAAAGATATCCGGGTCGCGATCGACGAAGAGTTCGCGGCGGCTCGCCGCGTCGTCGTCACCGTCGGCTCCGACGCGCGCGCGCTTCTTGCCTCGCATGGTCTCGCCCGTGCTGCCGAGGAGACCCTCAAAGTGTCCTCGCTCATACTTAGCGGCGATTATTTGACGGTGCGCCAAGGCCACTGCGAGAACAGACTCACTCGAGTCGCAGCCAAGAGATCAGCAAGGGCAAAGCTTTAAAGGTCAGGCTTGACGGCATCTCAGCCGCGCCTTCGCTCTGCCCGCGATGGTGAGCTGGAACAGAAGCTTGGGCTGGAAAGTAAGCATGCGGGCTGCTTTGCCGATCTTCGTACTCCAGGTGCGGGCCCAGTACTTCCCGCGCCACCACGTGCCCGGGCGCATCGGGCAGCGCCATCCCGGGCGCATCCTGCCGGGCAGCTCGAGCTCGTCGGACGCCTGCCCCGATTCGGACGGCGAGCAGTGCCAGCCCGATGGTTCGACTACGGCGCCTCCCCGACCCCACACAAAATAACACCGTCGCCAATTAGGTTCCACGGGCTACGCGGACGCGTCGGGCCTGACCTACGACGCGAGCACGGGCAAGTTCGCCGGCGCGATGATCACGAACGGCTGCAACGACCAGCCCCGCATCTACGGCTCCTCGTACTTCAACGGCCGGTCGTACTCCGAGTGCGAGTCGCAGACGATCCCGGCCTACGACGACAACGAGGGCCTGCCGACGCTCGGCCGCGCGGGCATGACGCTCAGCGGCGGCGTCAACATCTACAGCGCCTTCGAGGCCGGCTTCAACGACTGCGACGACGGCCAGCCCTGCGCGTGCACGGGCGCGGAGTGCGAGGGCGGCGTCGACGTCCACACCTGCGAGGCGCACCTCGAGTACGCGTGCACGTCGTCGGTGACCTACGAGATGTTCATGGACACGTGCGGCGGCCACGCGGATCCCTACCACATCCACCTGGACCCCGTGTGCAACTACGAGGCGTCGGGCAGCGGCCACTCGACGGCCATCGGCGTCATGCTCGATGGACGGGTCGTCTACGGCATCCAGGAGACGGCCGCGTCGCGGCCCTGCGACCTCGACTCGTGCCTCGGCCACGTGGGGCCCGTGCCCGCGAACGACGCCTACGGCATCGCCGAGGGCGACGCGATCTACCACTACCACACGTCGGACGTGGACCGGTCCCCGGGCACGTGGACGCCGGCGTGCTACGGCGACCCCGACGCGGCCATGACCGTCGACGCGTGCAAGGCCCTCTACGACGAGTGCGGCGACGGAACGATTTCGATGACGACCGCGGACCATCCCGAGGGCCTCGACGTCGACCTCTACTGCCCCTGCTTCGACTCGCCGTCGGACCTCTACGACGAGTGCGTGACCGCGGCGCCGACGACGGCGACGCCCACGCCCGCGCCGACGACCGCCGCGCCGACGACCGCCGCGCCGACGCCCGCGCCGTCCACGGCCGCGCCGTCGCCCGTGCCCGCGCCCGCGCCGACGCCGTCGCCGTCCACGGCCGCGCCGTCGCCGTCGCCCGTGCCCGCGCCGACCCTCGCGCCGACGCTCACGATGGCGCCGACGATGGCGCCGACGGCGGGCGCGGCGGCCTCGTCGTCGTCGAAGTCGTCGTCGTCGCCCGACCTCGTCGGCCCCGTCGTCGGCGCCGTCGCGGCCGTCCTCTTCGTCGTCGGCTGCGCCGTCGCCTACGCGCTCTACAAGCCCGTCGACGCGAAGAAGATCCTCGAGGACGACGCCGCGGCCAAGGCCGCCGGCGTCGACGCCAAGGAGGTCGAGCTCGCGGACGCGCCCAAGCCCGGCGCCGTCGCCGACGCCCCCGACCCCGACGCGCCCCCCGCCGACGAGGAGGACCCGGCGGAGCCGCCCCAGACGACGATGATCTAGGGGTGGGGCGGTGTGTAAGCTTGTCTACCGTACGACGACCGAGGCATTGAGCGCTCACCCCCGGCGAAAATAGCCTAGCCTGTAGCGTGTAGGACGGTCTCGTCTCCGCGGGCGAGAGGAGCAGCTCGGCGATCGCAGTCGCTCTCGTGCTTATGCGGCGTCCATAGAGGCTCCACCGCGAGGGGATCCGAGAGACGTCGTCCTTGTCGATGCGGCGGACCGACGAGCAACGCTGTGACGACGGACGACGGAAAAAGCGAGCAGCGCGCGCACCAAAACCGCGGCGTCGCCGACGCTCTGCGGCGCGGCTCCCGAGGGCCGCGCCGGGAGCCCGGGACGCGGCGGCGGGGCGGCGCAGCACTACCTTCCGCCGCCCGGCGGCACGGCGGCGCCGACGGCCGCACCGCGGGCAGGAACTCGCGAGGGGGGGGGGCGCGCGCGCTCGAGATCGAACCGACGCCCGACGCCGTCCGTCCGTAGGTCAAGATGCCGTCCAAGAAGGAAGTGAAGAAGGCGCCTCCGAAGAAGGAGGCGGCCAAGCCGGACCCGCTGTTCCAGGCGACGCCGCGGAACTTCCGCGTGGGCGGCGACATCCAGCCGACGCGCGACCTGAGCCGGTTCGTCAAGTGGCCGCGCTACGTGCGCCTCCAGCGGCAAAAGAAGATCCTCCAGCAGCGCCTCAAGGTGCCGCCGGCCCTGAACCAGTTCGCGACGACGCTCGACAAGAACCAGGCCGCCGAGCTCTTCAAGCTCCTCATGAAGTACCAGCCCGAGGACAAGGCGGCCAAGGCCGACCGCGTCAAGGCGCTCGCCGAGGCCAAGGCCGCGGGCGGCGCCGCGCCCGAGGGCAAGGCGCCGACCGTCGTCAAGTTCGGCCTCAAGCACGTGACCTACCTCGTCGAGAACAAGAAGGCCAAGCTCGTGTGCATCGCGTCCGACGTCGACCCCATCGAGCTCGTCGTGTGGCTTCCCGCGCTCTGCAAGAAGATGGACGTGCCCTACTGCATCGTCAAGAACAAGAGCCGCCTCGGGACCGTCGTCCACCAGAAGACCGCCGCCGTCTGCTGCCTCACGACCGTGAAGAAGGAGGACCAGCACTCGCTCGACCAGCTCCGGTCGAACTTCAAGGCCATGTACAACGACAACGTCGCGCACGCGCGCAAGTGGGGCGGCGGCATCATGGGCCTCAAGACCCAGGCCAAGCTCGCCAAGCGCGAGAAGGCCCTCCAGGCCGAGCTCGCCAAGAAGGCGCAGTACTAGGCGCCGCGGCGACGGCCCGCGGCGCGGGCGGCGGCGCGGACCAGGCGCGGGCCCGCGGCGGCGGGGCGCGCCACCCTAAACACTGACAAACAACACGCGTGTTCCGGGGGACGGGCGTTGGCCACTGCCAAACGGACTCCTGCGCGGACCTCGTGGGCCGCGACTTGGAGCGCGTGCACGCGAGCACCGGTCGAGGCCGTCGAGCACGGCCACGCGTCGGTCGAAGCCCGAGATGGTCGACGTTCTCATCGCACGGCGCGGCCTCGCGTGCACCACAGCCGAGCGAGTTCTTCAGGAGAGCTCCCCCATCTCCGCGGCTCCACTGCACTCAGAAAGTCAACACGAGGTCAACGTGAATGGTTGAACCCCTGCCAAAGCCAGCATGGTGTAGGGCAGCCCGCGATGGCAGAGCAGTGCACAACAGCGAACGAGATCGTCCGGCTGCGCACCTGCCGCGGCACCTGGGTCGCCGCCGCGGCCGACAAGCGGCGGCTCGTGCAAAGCGCGGACCCGAGCGACCGCAGCGCGGCCTTCGCCGTCGTGCCCTGCGGGAGCGGCGTGGCCCTGCGCAGCGCGGCCACGGGCCAGTACGTGGACCTCGACCGCGGCGGCGCGACGCTGCGGCAGCGCAGGCGGCCCGCGTCCTGGGCCGTCGTCAACGGCCGCGGCGTGAGACCAGGCGCGCCGCCGGCGCTGTCCGCGCTGCGGCTCCGGGGCCTCTACGCGTCCGCGGCCGCCGACGGGTCCCTCGCCGCGTTTCCCGAGGCCACGGACGCGTCGCTCTTCTTCGTCGAGGCCTGGCGGTACGCCGCGACGGAGCCCCGGTGGTGCTGCAAGTGCGCGCACGCGATGCTAACAGACGCGCGCCGCCGGCGGAGCCGCGCGAGGGCCGCCGCCTGGCGCGGCCGGCGCATCCTCGTCGTGCTCCGGGGCGCCGCCGCGCGGCCCGAGGTCGGCTTCCACTACGGCGACACGTTGCCGAACCTCGACGCGTGCGTCCTCGCGGAGCTCCGACGATTCGGCGCGGCCGTGACGGTGCTCGCGGCCTGCAAGCGCGGCGACGGCCTCGCGGCGGCCGTCGCCGCGCGGGGCTACGCCGTCGCCGGCGACGCGCCGCCGGACCCGAGCCTCCAGCAGTGGCCCGCGGCGCTCGCGACGCTCCGAGCGTTGCCGGCCTGCGACGGCGTGCTGCTCCTGCGGCCGGACGTCGTGTGGTTGGCGCCGCTCGGCGACTGGGGGCTCGACCCGGACCGCGTGACTTTCCCCTTCCGCGAGCCCTGGGCGGGCGAGGGCGCGACGTGCGACGTCTTCCACTACGCGCCCGGGCCGCGCGTCGGGGCCTTCGTCGCCGCGCTCGCGGCGTCGTGCCGGCGGCCGCCGGACCCCCTGGGGACCTGCGACGAGCCGGGCCGCGACCTCCGCGCGCAGGCGCTCCTCTACGGGCACCTCGGAGACGAAGACGTCGCGTTCTGCGTCGAGGACGGCGTCTACCCCTCGGGCGAGGTCGGCGCGACCAACTCCCTGTGTCCGAATCCGCTGTACGCGTTCGCCGGCCGCCGGGCCATGTGCCATCGGGGACACCTCGGTCACATACCCCGGCGCGGCGTCGCTCCCGCCGCGCCGCCCTACGCGCTCGGCGACATGGTCTCGGGCGCCTGGGCCGCGCGCGAGCGGCGCGACGCGTTCCTGGCCGCGTACCCGGACAGCGTCGGCGCGGCCTACCTCCGGGAGACGGACGCGCGCGGCGACTACGCCGTCCTCGCGCGCCTCGTCCGCGCGCGGCGAAAGCCGCCGTTCCCGGACGTCGCCGTGCACCTGCGCACGGGCGACGTCGTCGACGCCGCGGCCCACTCCGTCGCGGAGCTCCTCGCGGCGCCGCGGCCCTTCTTCAACGGCGGCTTCTACGTGCGGCCCGCGGCCTTCTACGAGGCCCTCGAGCTCCCGGCGGGGTCGGAAATCACGCTCTTCACGGGGTTCCACCTCCCGGCGAAGAGCCGGGCGAAGAGCCTCGCCTACGTCGCCGCCGTCCGCGCCATATTCGAGCGCCGGGGCTTCGCCGTCGCCGAGGCCGTCGGCGGCGACGCCGACGGCGACCTCGCGCGGATGGTCTTCGCGGCGACCTTCGTGCCCTCCGGGGGCGGCTTCTCGGCGCTCATCGCCGGCACGCGGCGCGCGCTCCTCGAGATCTAGACCCAGGCGTTATCGCCGAGCCCGTCGAGGATGCCGAGGTTCTGGCGGACGGAGTAGCCGTTGTTGTCGAGGAGGCGCACGACGAAGCCGTGCGTCGCGCCGTGCGTGTCCCGCGGCGGCCCGTCGTCGCCGTCGCGCGCGTGGAAGACGAGCTCGACGTCGACGTCGGCGGACGTGGGCTGCTCGCCGACGTACTCGTCGTCCTCCGAGTCCGACATCTCGTAGCGGAGCTTGCGCTTGATGAGGAACGACGTCACGCGGAGCGCGCGCGAGTCGCCGCCGCCGGCGCGGAAGCGCACGAAGTTCCGCGCGCCGTCCGAGTCGTCGGCGACGGCGCCGTCGGCGACGAGGCCGTGGCCGAGGCACAGGATCTTGCGCTCGGGCGCCTTGCGCAGCAGGGACACGCTCGCGCGCGCGCCGTCGAACGCCGCCGTCGGCCTGTCGTCGAGCTCCGGGTGGCGGCCGCGGCGCCAGATGGCGAAGAGGCGGCCCGACGGCGACGTCGACACGTCGCAGACGCCCGTGACGGGCGCGCCGCCGCCGGCGAGGGCGACGGCGTAGACGAGGACGAACTCCGCGTCGCGCCGCGGCGGCGTGCACAGGAACTTCTGGTCGCGGAAGCGCGGCGAGACGAGGTGCCTCGCCACGCGGACGTATTCCCGGTAGGGCGAATTAGGAAAGCAGAGCCAGAGCCCCTGCTTCAGCGCGACGCAGATGGGCTGCCGGTCCGCGTGCAGCCGCCACAGGCAGTCGCGCATCGCCATGGCCCGGAACGCGGACGACGCGCCGCGGAGCGCCGCGAGGCACTCTGGCGAGCAGAACTCGAGGCACGCGGTCGACACGCCGGCGTCGCCCCAGACCTTGCGGCTCCGGCTCCGCCAGCCCGTCGTCAGCGACCGCACGCGCTCCATGGACCGCCGGAAGTCGCGCAGGTCCACGTCCGTGATCGCGCCGTCCGCCGCGAGGCCCGCGACGAGCGCCTCGCCGTCGTCGATCCACGTCGCGAGGGCGCTTCGCTCCGGCGCCGCCCGCGGCCGCTTGCGCGCCGCGGAGCCCGCGGAGATCGCGGATTCGAGGGCCGCTTTGCGCGACGCCGCGCTCTCGTCGGCCCCCTTTGCGAGCAGGAGCGGCCGCGCGGACATGGCGAACCCAGAGGCAAAACGTGTCCTCGCTTGTGCCGCGCTAACAGGCAAAACGCTGCTCCCAGACGAGAGACGCTCTCCCTGTCTGGCCGACATTGCCGAGATCGATGCGTGATGCTGCCGCATTCTCGCTTGCTAGATCCAACAACGCCATCCAGAGCGCATCGGGCAGCCTCGCGAGACGACGCTCCGGCCACCATGGGCTCCGGTGCGTCCATCGCGACGGACCCGACGACGATCTGCCTCACGGCGCGCGGCGACGACCGGAACGCGCGGCGCGAGAGCGGCGATGCCATGCGCGATCTCGTCGACGAGGTGACGGAGGAGAACCGCGTGGCGACGGAGTACGTCGCCCAGCGGGACGTCACGACGATCTACAACGCCTGCAAGGGCCTCGGCACCGACGAGGCCGCGCTGTCGTCGATCATGATCGGCCGCACGAAGGCGCACCTGGAGACGGTCGACGCGCTGTACCGCGAGCACGTCGGCGGGGGCAAGACGCTCGCGTCCCTCATCCAGAGCGAGGTGAGCGGGAACCTGTGCAAGCTGCTGCTCTACCGGTCCCAGTCGAAGGTCGAGTTCATGGCGTCCATGGTCGACGTCGCCTGCAAGGGCTTCGGGACGGACGAGGAGCTGCTCGTCGACACGCTCGTGCCGGCGAGCAACGCGGAGCTCCTGGCGCTGCGGGAGCACTACGAGGCGACGCGGGACGCGAGCCTCATGGATCTGATGCGCAGCGAGCTGAGCGGGGAGATTCTGTTGTTCGTGACCAAGCTCCTGGCGGGCGAGCGCGACGAGTCGGGCGACGTCGACGAGGACGCGGCGGCCGAGGCCGCGGAGAAGCTCTACGAGGCGGGCGAGAAGGACTGGTGGGGCACGGACGAGGCGGCCTTCGTGGACGCGCTCCTCGGCGCGAACCCGAAGCAGTGCCAGGCCATTAATACGGCCTACGAGAACAGCCACGGCAAGTCGCTCCAAAAGGCCATCAAGTCCGAGTTCGGCTCCGACGCGGCCTACGGCCTCTGCGCCTGCTTCTACGACGGCGCGCCGGATCTCATGGCGCGGCGCCTCGTCGACGCGATGAAGGGCTTCGGCACGGACGAGAGCGTCATCTGCCGCGCGCTCGGCGGCGACTTTTCGCATTGCGCGGCCGTCGCCCGGCGCTACTTCGAGATCACGGACGCGAGCCTCGTGGACACGCTCGTGGCCGAGCTCGGCGGCCTCTTCGAGGGCGACTTCCGCTTCGCCGTGACGACCCTGGTCGCGGACGCGGACAAGCGCGGGCGCCGCCTCCAGGAGCAGGTCGACGCGCTGGGCCCCGTCGACGACGACGACGACGACGCGCTCTCGGCGCGCCTCGACCTGCTGGTCCAGTGCAACGACGCGACGAAGGAGCTCATCGCGTACGAGGACGCGCTGGCCATCCGCCGCGCGTGCCACGGCGGCTGGACGGGCCTGGGCACGGACGAGGACGAGCTCGTGGGCATCCTCGCGCGGCGCACGAAGAGCCAGCTCGATCGCATCGATGCGCAGTACCGCGCGCTCTACGACACGACGCTGCGGCGGGAGATCGAGGCGGAGACGTCGGGCGACTTCAAGGACATGCTCGTGCTCATGCAGATGGGCGAGGCCGAGGGCGACGCCTTCCTCCTGGACAAGGCGACGCGCGGCTGGGGCACGGACGAGAAGGCGCTCATCGACGTCCTCGCGCCGAAGAGCCCCGCGCGCATCGCGGCGACGCGCGAGCAGTTCGAGGCGACCTACGACAAGTCGCTCATGGACCTCCTCGACGACGAGACGTCGGGCTGGTTCGAGGGCGACTTCAACCGCATCGTCAAGGCCTTCCTGGTCCGGTCGGAGGTCGACGACGACGCGGACGCGGACGAGGGCGCCGCGGAGGAGGCCGCGGCCGCGCTCCACGACGCGATGAAGTCGTGCCTCGGCACGGACGAGGCCACCGTCGTCGAGACGCTCTGCGGCGCGTCGCGCGCGCAGATCGCGGCCATCAAGGCCGCCTACGAGAACGCGCAGGGCCGGTCGCTCGAGTCGGCGCTCGAGGAGGACTTCGGGGGCATGGCCGACGACGCGCTGCTGGCCCTCGTCTGCCCGCCCCTGGACTACTACTGCCGCGTGCTCAAGCGCGCCTTTGGAAGCTGGGGCACGGACGAGGCCGCGGTGACGCGCGTCCTCGGGAGCCTCGACAAGGCGGCCGTCGGCGACCTCAAGGCGCGCTACTTCGAGAAGTACGACGAGGATTTGGACGACATGCTCAAGGCGAAGACGTCGGGCGACTGGGGCATGGCCGTCCTGACCTGGGTCGTCGGCGTCGACCCGACGCGGGGCCGCGAGGAGGAGGCGGCCGCGGCCGCGGCGAAGATCGAGGCCGGCGAGGAGTCCGACGAGGACGGCTCCGGGTCCGAGGAGGAGGAGGAGGACGCGGACTCGGACGAGTCCGGCGACGACGACGACGACGACGACGACGACGAGCGCAAGGAGCGCCGCCGGGCGAACAAGCGGAAGCAGAAGAAGCAGCGCGCGGAGCTCAAGAAGAAGGCGAAGAAGGACAAGAAGCTCCAGAAGCAGCGCAAGGACGCGCTCCGGCGCGAGAAGACGCGGCTCGCGCGCGAGAAGCGCCTCATGGAGGACGCGGAGGCCGAGTACGGCGACCGCCTCAAGGTGCCCATCGAGTGCGCCTTCGACGAGGCCATGTACGGGTTGCAGAACGACTGCGACGCCGACGACGCCTGGCGCGAGTTCAAGAAGAAGGGCTTCTGGAAGGGCCACCTCCTGCGCTTCAAGACGGACGACGGCGTCTTCATCGGCGCGCTCGACTGCCGCAGGCTGCTGGAGCTCGAGGGCCACGACCCGCCGGGGAAGCGCGACAAGCCCTTCACCGTGAGCGCCATGGCCTACAACAAGTGCATCAAGCGGGGCCGGCCGGACGTGCTCCCCGTGGCCGCCGTCGTGCCCGTGTGCTTGTGCGGCCGCTTCCGGCCGCCGCTCTTCAAGAAGGAGCACAAGGACCTCAAGAGCTACTGGAAGAACCCGAAGAAGGGCCGCCTCGACGCCAAGGCCATGAAGGACGACATGGGCGACGACGAGGACCCCTACGAGTGGCTCCGGAGCCACCAGGGCGCGGACGTCGTCATCGACGGCCGCGAGGGCAAGGTCAACTGGGGCTGGTTCAGCAAGCGCTACTGCAACGGCGCCAAGGTCAAGAAGGCCATGAAGCGCTTCAAGAAGAAGGAGTGGAAGAAGCGGCCCCGGCTCAAGATCAAGGGCCGCAAGTGGACGCCCTGGGAGTACTACAAGAAGGTCGGCTTCGACGACGGCCGCACCGTCGTCGTCAAGAACAGCCTCGGCCAGTTCGAGGGCGTCTTCTCCGAGGAGGGCTACGCCATGGTCAAGACGAAGCGCGACGGCGACGAGCCCTTCGACGCCGAGGAGGCCTGGGACGAGTACAAGGGCCGCGTCGACGACGACCCGGACGAGGCCATCGCCGTCGAGCAGATCTCCGTCATCAAGCTCTTCCGCGGCGTCGAGGTCGAGGACGAGGAGGACGTCGACTCCGACGACGAGGACTCGGACGACGACCGCGACTACGGCGGCAGCGACGACTCCGACGAGGAGGAGGAGGAAGAGGACGAGGAGGAAGAGGACGAGGAGCCGCCGCCGCCGCGCCGCCGGCCCTGCCGCGGCCCGGGCGGCCGCGGCGGCGGCAAGATGTCCAAGCGCATGCGCCGCCGCCGGGGCGGCTAGGCGCGCGGCCTGGGGAGTGGCGGCGACGGGGCTGGGGCTATTAAACTGAACAGCATGTTGCACCTCAACATGAGGCCAACAACAAAGGAGGTCCTCGGCTCGGCTGACGCGATGTGCATGCTCTTGCGCTTGCTCTTGGCGCAAGCCGCCATAGCGTTGCAAGCGCCGCGCTGCAGCCGCGTCGTGCGCGGCGCATCGGAACCCGTTTTTGCATCCGAGCGCGAAATGCCGAACGACGACGCGCAACACCGGCGATACGTCGTATCGCGGCGCGCCGCCGCCGCGGGCCTCGGCGCCGCGGCGCTCGCGGCGGCGCCGCGCCCCGGTGCCGCCGCGGAGCTCGGCCTCCGCGACACGCTCGCGGCGCGCGACGCGAACCTGCTGCGCAAGCCGTTCATCGCGGTACCGCCCGGGCCGACGGCGTACCCGGCGTGGCTCGAGGGCACGTGGCGCTGCGACGCGGCCTTCGCCGGCTTCGAGCTCCCGTCGAAGAAGATCTCGAAGCAGCGCGTCGTCGCGAACACGGACCTGCCGGGCTTCACGAAGCTGTCCGTCGCGCGCTTCGGCGACGTCGGCCGCGAGTCCACGCGCTACGAGATGCGCTTCTACAGGACGCCGTCGGGCGCGGTCTACGAGGACTACGCGCGCGACGTCGCGTCGTCGCTCAACGCCCACGCGGGCGACGCGAGGCTCGTCGAGAGCGTGAGCTACGACGTCGCGAAGAACGCGAATCGCGCGACGGTGACGCTGCGGCCGGGGACGCGCAACGGCGAGCGCATCGAGCTCTTCGTCAACGGCCGCCGCTCCGAGGCGCTGGGCGACGACGTCTTCCTGAGCAGCGAGAACGTGCGCCAGGTCACCCTCGGCTACGGGACGACCTCGAACCCGAGCGCCGCGCGCGTCGTCATCGGCGAGTACCAGCACTACGCCACCTGGCGCCGATCGGGGCCCGACGCCGCCCGGTGCAACGTCCTCACGGCCGTCTACGTCGAGCCCCAGGACCCCATGTTCGGCGACGCGTTCGACCTGCCCGTCGTCGTCTACGCGCACAACGTCGCCATGTCGCGCGTCGACGGCGCGGCGTAAGGCGGTGCGGGGCGGTCGTGGGCCCCTCGAGCGGACGCCCGCACGCGGACGGCGCGCGCCCGAGCACGCGTCGCCGACGACGGCGGACCATCGGTCCGCGGGCCGACGCGAAGGGCGTCGCGAGGGGCGGCGCGAAGGTCGCCTCCCCAAGACTTGGGCCAAGTCCTCACATGGCGCCGGCCGGGGAGCCGCACGGTTGCAAGCAGGTATCGGGCCCCGTGTCACCGCCTCACCAGTCCTCATCTGGCGCCGGCCCGGGAGCCGCACGGTTGTGCAAGCAGGGATCGGGCCCCATCGTCACCTCGCGCCGTGATCTCATGCTCGCCTACCTCGGCTACGAGCCCCCGAGTAAGGAGTCGCTTGGCGCGGCGCCCTTCTCCGAGTTCGGCGACGACAATGACAGCGTCATCGACTTCGACGTCATGTCCATGACGAGCTCCGTCGCGTCGTCCATCCCCCGCCTCTTCTCCCCCGCGGGGGCGTCGGCCGTCGCCGACGGCGACGTCGACGTCGACGTCGACTACGATGACGCCGACTCCGTCGCGAGCAAGGACTCCATCGCGTCGACGATCTATCGCGCGTACGCGCGAGATCACCCGGAGGACCCCACGGGGTCCGCGAAGTTCGCGGACCCGGCGGAGCGGCGGAGCGTCATCCGCAAGTACCGCGCGGCCGAGCGGGCCGACACCTGCGCGGCCCTCCCTCGGCCGCCCCGGGCGACGCCGCCCGCGCGCGACGAGTCGCCGGAACACGGCGACGAGTCGTCGCCGGACACGGTCTTGGGCACGCCGGGGGGCCTCCGCATCGTGCCGCCGCTCTCGCCCGTCCGCGCCGACGACAGCTGGGGCGCGTCGCCGCCGCCGCGCGCGTCGCCGCCGCGCGCGTCGCCCGCGCCGCCGTCGCCCATCGGCCTCCTCGACGGCGCGTCGCCGGACGGCGCGTCGCCGCCGTCGCCCGCGGTTTCGCTCTCGCCCCGCTACGACTTCGAGTGCACGCCCGCGGGCCGCCGCGGGCCGCGCCAGCTGTCGCCCGTGCGCGAGGAGCCGCGCTGGCGCGAGGACCTCGACGCGTTCCTCACGGCGGACGAGGCGCGGCGGTGGCGCGCGGACCTCGACGACTTCCTCGCGCGGAACGACGCCGCGCCCCGCCGGCGGCCCCGGTGGTGGACCGCCGCCGCCGCCGCGGTCGTCGCCGCGGCGGTCGTCGCCGCCGCGGCCGTCGCCGCGCCGCCGCCGTCGCCCGCGCCCGCGCCGCGGCCGTCGACCGCGCCCGCGCCGCGGCCGGCCGCGGGCGCCGTCGACGGCGCGGCCTGGCGCCTGGAGCCCCTCGGCGGCGCCGACCCCCGCTCCTGGGTGCGCCGGGGCCCCGCGCCCGTCGGCCGCGCCCGGACCCGCGGCCTCGCGCCGAAGCCGAGGTACGCGTAAAACGCACACACGACACCGTTACTCGATGTGGAGCGTCTTCTCCGCGTAGTCCGGGTTGAACTTCTTGTAGTTGTCGAAGAGCTCGACGAGCTTCGCGCAGTAGAGCGCGTGGTACTTGTCCACGTCCGCGTCCGTCGGGTGCTCGATGTGGGGCAAGCCGAGGGGCCGCCCCCGCGCGTAGACCAATTTCACGCGCTTGGGGATGGGCAGGAACCACCGTCCCCAGAACACGGTCACGGAGACGCCGACCTTCCGGGACAGCGACGCGAGCGGACCCGACTTGAAGGCCTCGAGCACCGTCGTGTTGCCGAAGGAGTAGATGGGGATGAGGTCCGCGCCCGTGCGCAGGGCGATCTTCACGAAGCCCTTGCGCTTCTTTAAAAAGACGGTCTCGCGCTTCGGCGTGCTGTGGAAGAGCTCGACCATGCCGCCGACGTAGATGACGCAGGACCCCTTGCGCCGTTTCAGCCGCTCGCTGAGCACCTTGCCCGCGGCGTCGACGATGCCGAAGATGCCGATGATGTCCTTGAGGAGCGGCAGCAGGCGGATCACGGAAGCCGCGGCCGTCGGCACGTCCATGAGGCCGTCCCGCAGGCCGTCCGGCCGGCACACCGTGGACACGGCGCCGCAGACGCTCACGAAGGGGAAGACGCCGTGGGGGTGGATGCACGCCACGGCGCGCTTGCCCTCCTCGTGCCACCGCAGGAACTCCGCGTCCGTGAATTCCGCGTACTCCTCGAAGTCGAAATACTTCGGGA